GAAACAATAGAGAAGATGTTTGAAACAATAATGGACAGATCTGCAGCAGCACCCTATAAAATTGATGGAGTGTATAGAATAGGAAGACTATATCAAGAGGGTAGGAATAGAAAATCAAGAGATGTCATTGTTAAATTCCATCATTATCATGACAAAGATGAGATATGGAGGAAATTGAAAGGAAGATCAGTTATAAAATAGGGAAAAATAAATATACAGATCTTTGCTGATTTGGCTGCACAGACACTATCAAGAAAGAAATCTTGAAACCATTAGTAGAACAAATGAAGAAGCAGAACGTTCGATATAGCTGGGGGTTCCCAGCATGTTTAATCGGTTGGAAGAATGGGCATTCTGCAAGATAAAAGTTTCCTGAAGAACTAAGAGACTTTTGTGAGAGACTTGAGTTACAGCATATAGACATTCCTGGGTGGGGGGTGGGGGGGGGGGGACGAGGAGAGGCAGAATATGGAGAATGAAAGCTGGCAGATAGTTTAGGAGGAGGATGGAGAGAAGTGGGGAGTGGGATGGGGAGGGGGGGGGCTGTGGGGGGAGGAGGGGGAGAATATATTGTTAGGGGATTTTTTTTTTTTTTTCCCCCCCCCCCCCCCTGACTGTCTCCCCATCTCTCCTCTACCTCTTGTCCCCTCCCTGCTTTTTTCCTTTTCTTCCTTTCTTTCTCTCTTTTTTTTTTTTTTTTTTTTTTTTTTCTACAGACAGGTCTGGCGGGACATTGGGAGGGTGAATAGGAAGTGGTGTTCAGGCGCAGAGCTCCACCCTAAAATTGAATCAAAGGTGGGATTAGGACCACAAATGATTCATAGGCAAAATCTTGGCCTAAAAAGGGAGGGCTCGGGGGGAGAATGGGTGGGAGAAGGGCATGGGGAGGTTACAGAAAGATGGGGAAGGGATGGGAGGGGGGTGAGAGGGGAAGATGGGAGGGTGGAGGATGGGAATGGGGAGGTAGTAGGCAGCATAGGATTCTGCGGCAGCCTTAGTGTCAGGGATCGCCATGTAGCATAGGTCTGCGCATGCGCAGATTGCCAAAATGCACTAACACACGGGCGCTAGGACCTGGGCGCCCGCGGCTGCCGTTGCCGCCGCTCATGCGCACTCGCGCACATGGGCGCGTGCTTGTCACCAATGACAGCGCAGGGCGCTCTATTTAAAGCCGGCTCTTGCAATGCTCAAGTGCCGTATGGTCTTATTCCTGTGTTCCTGTTCCTAGTTCTGAGATTGCTTTGTTGCCGAACCTGCCTGACCCGAATTATCATGACCCTCTCCTGCCCTGATCCCTGGCTTGTCTGACCATTCTTCTGCCTTCTCCTGTTTACCTGACCTCCTGTTGCTGAACCTGGCCTGTGACCCGTTTATCCTTTTGCCTGTCGATCGGTACCGTCTGCCTCTGCTGTTACTGACCTGGCCTGTCTGACGACGCTACACACTATCGCTTCCCACCTGGCTCTCACATGCTACCTACCACTGGAAAAACCACCTCTACCACAGCTGGTTGTCCTCAGGAAGTCGCGACCTGGTCTCAGGCTGCTTCAAGTCCATCCCCACCATCAGGGGCCCTGGTGAAACAGCAGACTGAGGCTTAGACACCGCGCCCTGAGGAATTCTGGCCTGTGGGTCACTAGAGGCTACTGCCAGTTGGACAGAACCATACGGCCATGACTGAGCTGGGAAGAGGTCCCTCACCCTTGAATGAGATATGCCAACACCTGGCGGCACTCACCCAAACTGTCAAAACTCTCCAAGAAGGCTATACACATCTGGAGGGACGTATTCAGACCCTAACCACGCCAGCAACCACACCATCAGCCCCGGCTGATCCACCTCCTGCCAGGGACCTTGCAGGATTTTCCACTGGAGCAATGTTCACCATGCCTCCGCCAGAACCTCGACTGCCAACGCCCAAGCGGTTCAATGGGGATCGAGGGAAGTTCAGGGCCTTCCAGAATTCCTGCCTATTATACTTTAACCTACATCCACGGACTTTTTCGTAAGAATCTGTAAAAGTGGGGTTCGTCATATCCCTACTGCAGGGGGAACCCCAAGGCTGGGCCCACTGTCTGTTGGAGAGTCGCCATTCGCACCTGGACTCAGTTTCCTCATTTTTCAAAGCAATAGCGGTACTATATGATGATCCACAACGAGCTGCTTCAGCTGAAGCAGTTCTACATACTTTGCAGCAGGGTCACCGGACAGCAGAGGACTATGCCTCAGAATTCAGGCGATGGAGCGGGGACACCCAGTGGAATGACGCGGCTTTGCGTCACCAATTCCGCCTAGGCCTATCTGATCCTCTGAAGGACGAGCTAGCCAGAGTAGGTGTACCTGACTCCCTGGAAGGATTGATAACTCTGGCAATTCAGACTGACCACAGGCTTCAGGAACGAAGGTCTGAAAGATCCAGTCAAGGGTTAAAACCCACATGGATGCTGCCACAGGTTCTGACCATTCCGAACTCCCCTGCCGGTACTCAGAATCCAGAACCATCAGAGGGAGCCGAGCCAATGCAACTTGGGTTGATGCGGCCCTCCCTAACGTTTGGAAGAGTGCCAGAGATGCCGGGTAAACAACCTTTGCCTATACTGTGGAGCAGCAGGCCATGTGGTACGTTCCTACCCGGAGAAGTTAAGTAAGTGTTCTTCCACTACTTCTTCTATGACTCCTGCTTGTGTAGATAAACCCTCTCACTTAGCCATACCGATCTCATTTCAGCTCCCCGGAAGAACCATGCAGGTGAAGGCCATTATTGACTCAGGGGCCTGCAGTTGTTTTATTGATCTTAATTTTGCAATTTTGCAGCGTAGCAGCAGATTCCCTTACTGACCAAAGAGCAGGGCCTGAACAGCCTCTTGGCTGATGGGACTCAAGTTAAATCTGGGCGGTAGATCGGGAGACCCCTCCTATATGCACTATAATTATTATTATTAGCAGTAGCAAGGGGGACAGAACATGAGACAAGACAGTAACAATACACTACATGAGGGGTTCGAGGGCCCTGCTCTTTCGAGCTTACAATCTAGGAGGGAGGGGAAGGGGGTACAGGAGGAGATGGCTGTGGGGGATGGAGTGGTGGGAGGAGTGGAGGTTAGTTGTTAGGTGAGGTTGGGTGTCAGGGATCCTAGAGGTCTCTAGGTCCTTTTATGAGGACTTACTGAGTGTGAAGAGCCTTGACTGGACAAGGATGTTGAGCTTTTTGGAATCTACACCGGGTTTGGAAGGTAATGTCCCGCTGGCAAGTTTGACAGGGGTAATTACAGCAGAAGAGGTGATCAAAGCTATTGACAGTCTGGCCATTAAAAAGACTCCTGGGCCAGATGGTTTGACAGCTGAGTTTTTTTAAAACTTTTAAATCCAGCTTGGCACCCCATCTTGCAGAGGTTTATACCAGGTGTCTGGATGAGGGTTCTCTCCCTCCCTCCATGAGGCGATCTGCTGTAATTCTTTTGTCAAAAGGTAAGGATCCTTTGGCTATTGAGAATTGGCACCCCATTAGCCTTCTCACTGTCGATAGAAAGGTTCTGGCAAAGATCTTTTTCTGGCACTTGTCGTCAGTGGTGGACGGTTTGCTTTCACGGCAGCAGCATTGCTCGATCCAGGGCAGGAGTACCTTTACAGCGGTGTTAGCTGTCCGGGAGGCTCTGGAGTGGTGTAAGGCTGAGGGCTGGGTGAAGTACTTGCTGGCAGTGGATCAGGCAAAGGCCTTCGATCGAGTCGATCATGAGTACCTTTGGCACCTCCTGGACCGGTATGGCCTAGAGGGTAGGTTTATTGGCTGGCTTAAGACACTGTATAGAGAGGCTGAAAGTTTCATGTTGGTGAATGGTTGGGTTGGGCGGCCCTTTGGGGTCAAATCTGGTGTGCGCCAGGGGTGCCCGCTGAGCCCCTTGCTCTATGCCTTTGCCATCGATCCCTTCATCAGGAGGTTGGATGGTGGGGCGTTGGGCGGGGTGCCGGTGGGTGCTGCTGGGGGTCCCTCTCCGAAGGTCGCTGCTTACGCTGATGACGTTTCTGTCTTCATCTCCGGGACTGAGGAGGCGCAGGAAGTAGTCTTGGTGATGGATCAGTATTCTGAGGCGTCAGGCTCCAAGGTCAACCAGGATAAGTGTGACATTTTCTGGATGGGTAGGGATGGTGAGAACTTCTCACTCCCAGACACCTTCCCAGTGCCTCAGCGGAGTATAAAAGTCCTAGGCATCAATTTCGGTCCTGCTGATTACAGCAAATCAAATTGGGAGGCTAGGCTTTCTGATGCCGAGGTCAAGGTGAGGTGTTGGAAGGGGTGGCGGCTCTCCTTAAGGGAAAGGGTTGACTTAATTAAGACCTTCCTGGTTCCCATCTTTTTATATGTCAGCTTTGTCTGTCTTTTGCCAGAATCACTCTATACGAGGATCTACAGCTGATTCTTCCAGATGTTATGGGGGAACAGGCTGAACCTTGTCAGGCGGGATGTAACTTACTCAGCCAAGCGGGAGGGGGGCCTAGATATGGTCAACCCAATAGTTTTATTCTCTCTAATGTTCATGAAACATAACTTTGGTAATATGCTGGCAGAGAGTCCGCTTGCATGGGTATGGCTGTTTCGGATCTGGTTCAGACCCTTTCTGAGCAGTTGGGAGAGTGGTGGGCTAGTGAAGAGCTTGTGGGTCAAGCACGGCAAGCTCCTGGCTTATGTGGCCCTGAGCCTGAAGTTACTCCGGCGGTGGCATGTGACGGCGAAGGAGGTCAGATCTCTCCCTAGGAAACTCCTGGGTGAGAGGATTGTGGCAACCTCTTTCCATGCGCCGCTGGCCTTGAAAGATTGCCCAGGCCATATCATAAGGGAGGGTTTGCGCTTGATAAATTTAGAACGGATTCCCTTGAAGTTTAGGGACCAGGCCTGGCTCGCTTTTCATGGCAGGCTTTACGTGAGGGGTAACTTGAAGTACCGTCCTCTGGATGACCGTGGTTGTCCGAGGTCGGAGTGTCGGGGTGAGGTGGAAACTATGGACCACTTCTTGCTTCAGTGCCCCTTTAACGTAGAGGTGTATAAAGAGGTGGGTGGGGCTCTGGGTGTTCCTTTCCTGCACCGCATGTCTTATGCGGAGTGGGTGTATGGGGCATTCAAATGTCACCTGGATTTTGATTTAGACACTTTGTTCTTAGTCAGTTTAGTAGTCCGTTACTACACGTGGAATGCACGGGGTCAGGTCTCCATCCGGCAGAAAGTCCTCCCCGTCCAGGTGGTGGTGCATGGCATCCTAGGTGAGGTGGGAAAAGTGCATTCTACACTTGTTCACCATACCACCAATATCACGGATGTCAACTGAATATTCATGATTGACTGTCACTTCACTATTTGCACTTGTATAAATCCCAGTGTGCCGTTTATTACTATACTTACTTGCTAAGAGCTTTATTACGGTTTTTGGGTTATTTCACCCACCATAGAGATTACGACACATTTGTGATACATTATCAATATCGCACTGAGATATTTTGTTTTTTTCCATATGGATTACAACTGTATGTATGTTCTTTTTTTTTTGTATGCAGCCTGTGGGCTTAATGAAAAAAGGAGACATTTGTACAATTTTGGAACTGGCGCATGTGGCACAGTGTGACCTAATGTGTGCCCACCATTAGAATATACCGCCCTGCATCCATCCACTTCTAATGGTGGGCACACATTAGGTCACACTGTGCCACATGTGCCAGTTCCAAGATTGTACAAATGTCTAAATAGTGGCATGCTTGAATAAAAATTGTCCACGTATAAGTGGTACCCCATATGGAAAAAGGATAACACCAAGTCCCAAAATATCTTGCCACTATTCCCCATGTAGTCTGGGCATCTCGGGGGGCTCCACGTGACTATCTTTTCCCTCGTAAATCCAAAATTTATAAGTATAGCCTGTTGTCCTCTCACAGGTCTTATACCCCATATCTGGCACGCTTGCTGGGGAGAAATTGTTTGAATGCAAGGCAGCCAGAAAAATTAATGAGGGACTCATCAATGCAGATTTTTTCCTGCAAATTTTTGGTTAAGGTGATTTACGAGGGGTGAATTTTGTGGAGCCTGTAAAATTCAAGGTCACCCCAAGAATGACAGCGTATTGTCGCTGAAATGCATAAAACACATACTCTCATATCTATGCCTGGCCATGGCAGCAGAGAACACACAGGCATATGATGAATCGGGTCTGTGAACTAATACAACCGCAATTCATTTTTTTTAGTAATGCCCATGTTGAGGGTTAGGCCCAAAAAAATCTTTAAATTCGGAACCTGTAATGGGTTGTGCATATACAGTGGGGAAAAAAGTATTTAGTCAGCCACCAATTGTGCAAGTTCTCTCACTTAAAAAGATGAGAGAGGCTGTAATTGGCATCATAGGTAGACCTCAACTATGAGAGACAAAATGAGAAAAAAAATCCAGACAATCACATTGGCTGATTAGGAAAGAAATTATTTGCAAATTATGGTGGAAAATAAGTATTTGGTCGATATCAAAAGTTCATCTCAATACTTTGTTATATATCCTTTGCTGACAGTGATAGAGGTCAAACAATTCCTGTACGTCTTCACAAGGTTGGCACACACTGTTGCTGGTATGTTCTCTCATTCCTCCATGCAGATCTCCTCTAGAGCAGTGATGTTTTGGGGCTGTTATTGGGCAACACGGACTTTCAACTCCCTCCAAAGGTTTTCTATGGGGTTGAGATCTGGAGACTGTCTAGGCCACTCCAGGACCTTGAAATGCTTCTTACGAAGCCACTCCTTCATTGCCCGGGCGGTATGTTTGGGATCATTGTCATCCGCTCCTCACAAGACCTCCTTCTCTCTAGTTCCCTGGTCTCCTCCTCCCATGCCCGCCTCCAGGACTTCTCCAGGGTGTCACCCATCCTCTGGAACTCCCTGCCCCAACCCATCAGATTATCACCTACTCTCCTCTCCTTTAGGCGCACCCTGAAAACCCACCTCTACAGGGAAGCCTACCCCACCCCCTGCTAACTTGCCAACCTCCTCCACTCTCCTACCACCCCATCCCCCACAGCTATCTCCTCCTGAGCCACCATCCCCTCCCTCCTAGATTGTACGCTCGAAAGAGCAGGGCCCTCAATCCCCTCATGTTTTGCATTGTATTGTTTTTGTTCTGTCACATGTTCTCTCCCCATTTGTAACATACTGCGCTGAGCGAATTATTGGCGCTTTATAAATACTGTATAATAATAATGTTGGAAGACCCAGCCACGTTTCATCTTCAATGCCCTTGCTGATGGAACGAGGTTTGCACTCAAAATCTCACGACACATGGCCCCATTCATTCTGTCCTGTACATGCATCAGTCGTCCTGGTCCCTTTGCGGAGAAACAGCCCCAAAGCATGATGTTGCCACCCCCATGCTTCACAGTAGGTATGGTGTTCTTTGGATGCAACTCAGCATTCTCTCTCCTCCAAACACGACAAGTTGTGTTTCTACCAAACAGTTCTATTTTGGTTTCATCTGACCATATGACATTCTCCCATTCCTCTTCTGGATCATCCAAATGCTCTCTAGCAAACTTCAGATGGGCCCGGACATGTACTGGCTTAAGCAGGGGGACACGTCTGGCACTGCAGGATCTGAGTCCCTGGCGGCGTAGTGTGTTACTGATGGTAGCCTTTGTTACGTTGGTCCCAGCTCTCTGCAGGTCATTCACTAGGTCCCCCCGTGTGGTCCTGGGATTTTTGCTCTCCGTTCTTGTGATCATTTTGACCCCACGGGGGTGAGATCTTGCGTGGAGCCCCAGATCGAGGGAGATTATCAGTGGTCTTGTATGTCTTTCTAATTATTGCTCCCACAGTTGATTTGTTCACAGCAAGCTGCTTGCCTATTGCAGATTCAGGCTTCCCAACCTGGTGCAGGTCTACAATTTTGTTTCTGGTGTCCTTCGACAGCTCTTTGGTCTTCACCATAGTGGAGTTTGGAGTGTGACTGTTTGAGGTTGTGGACAGGTGTCTTTTATGCTGATAACAAGTTCAAACAGGTGCCATTGATACAGGTAATGAGTGCAGGACAGAGGAGCCTCTTAAAGAAGAAGGTACATGTCTGTGAGAGCCAGAAATATTGCTTGTTTGTAGGTGACCAAATACTTATTTTCCACCATAATTTGCAAATAAATTCTTTTCAAATCAGCCAGTGTGATTGTCTGGATTTTTTTTCTCATTTTGTCTCTCATAGTTGAGGTTTACCTATGATGCCAATTACAGGCCTCTCTCATCTTTTTAAGTTGGAGAACTTGCACAATTGGTGGCTGACTAAATACTTTTTTGTCCCACTGTACATTGCTTTGATCCACAATCAATGCATACAGATTTTCTGTGAAAAACAGCTCCAAAAATTAAGGGGGAGTAGTTAAATTTGCTGCTTCTACTTGAATTCCAGGTTGGGCAGTGGATGGGGGAACTATGAGTGCTGCAGAATTTGTGGGCTGCCAATCGGGATTTGTGAGCACATCCAGAAGGATACTAGGGGCTCTATGGGCCTGTGTGCAAATTTTTGGTGGTTGCAGGAAAATACTTGTGCTTCCCACCGCACCAGCTTGTACTGCAATTACGGGACTCGCCACATCACCAAGTGATACTGCAGTGCTGATATTATTATTATACAGGATTTATATAGCACCAACAGTTTGCTCAGGGCTTTATAATGTAATGGGAGACAATACAGCAACAATACAGTTCAATACAAGAGGGTTAGGAGGGCCCTGCTCCTTGGAGCTTACAATCTAAGAGGTATGTGAAAGACCAGGATGTACTAGGTCGCTGGTGCTTGCCAGTTCACCAAAAGGTAGCGCGGCAGTAGTACTGGCACTCTGCTGCATATGAGTCATCAAAATTTACCGACAAGTGCTAGCTGAGATCAGGCCTGATTCTGCAAACACTGCGGTTTTGTGTGCAATGTATCAAGTGACAGTGACCTACTGACACTGCACTTGCTGGGGGAGAAGGGGGGGGGTAAGCGTAGGGGCTAAACGCAGGTGCTGATCCCGCTAACACTGCGTTTTTGGGAACACTATACTAATGTGAACGCTGGTATAGTGCTGATCTGATCAAAGATATTGATCCGTTCAGACACTATACTAGCAATGTAGGTTTATTGTGTATGAGCATGTTCCTGGCAATCAAGGGGTTAAATGTGATTACTGTTGTACTGACAGTCAATCTGTGCTATCTGGGAGGGGCGTGAAAACCACAGGAGCACGAATCACGTATGAGAGGCAATCAAAGGGTTAACTGTGTGAGGGGAGTGTTTTACTAGGGGGCGGGGGGAGGAGGGTGTTCTTCACAGTAACACACTGATCCGGAAAGTTGTGCTCTGCTATCCGGATCAGAGTTCTCAAACTGACAGGGAGGAGAGCTCCTCCATGTCAGTGATTGCCGGTAATCATTGGGCTCCAGCGGGTAATCACCGCCGAGATTGGTCGCCCGCATCACGCTCGCCCCCTACCCGAAATGCAAAATCACATATATATGTGATTTTGCGCAGCCATGCTTCCCTACCGCAGTATATGTACTGTGGCTGGTCGGCAACCGGTTAATTCTGAATGTCTATAATTAATGTTTATTAATTGATACATTCACACAGAGATGATTTATTATCATTATTAGTTTAATTTAAAGAGACAGAGCTCTTATAATCAGAGTTCATTATAAAGTGTGGTATATCTTGTATTCAGATATTGGGTTGCTTCAGTCTTTATTATTGATGTGACACAGAGAGCAGATTGATCATTTTCACATAGGTTCCATGCACACCTGCCAGCTTGAGCTGCTGGCTTGTGATCACTGTACTTTAGCACTGCAAGGGATTCTTACCTGCTTGTCAACCTTTAGTTCCCAGTAGCTGCCTGATTGTGTGAGGGGGCTCTAATCTGGTGAGTGTGTATTTTTCACAGGGGGTTGAGCAGCACAGTGTTGGTTTTCAGCAACAACACATTCAAGTTTGACTGGAGCACTTTCAGATTATTGCAATCACGAAGATGTTTTGTGAAACTATCAAAACTTCCTGCTGACTCCTGTTTAAGGGTAAACTGCTTGTAGCACTACCCTCATGAGGGCTGCTGTGTAATGGATATCCCTAAGCTTCCCACGGCACAGTCAGGTAACAAGTATTTCTTTCACACAGACTTGCATCCAAAAGCAGTGACCAGTCCATGGGCTTAGTTTTGTTATTTTATTAGGGGAATTCGACTTGGAT